ATATTTTTTTCTTTTTTAAAATAGCCCCTTATAGGATAAATTTATGTAATGATTAATAAATATGATTTAAATCGTTATTAACCCAATTTCAACAAAGTATCTCTAATATATATCCAATGGATAACTAATGTATGTCCAAAGTATATCCACTGTACATCTAATGTATATCCACTGAATATCCGGTGGATAACCAATGGATATCCATACTGGATGTTCAAAAAAAAACAAAAACATTAAAAATATTTTTTTCTTTTTTAAAATAGCCCCTTATAGGATAAATTTATGTAATGATTAATAAATATGATTTAAATCGTTATTAACCCAATTTCAACAAAGTATATCTAATATATATCCAATGGATAACTAATGTATGTCCAAAGTATATCCACTGTACATCTAATGTATATCCACTGGATATCCACTGGATATCCAATGGATATCCATACTGGATATTCAAAAAAAAAACAAAAACATTAAAAATATTTTTTTCTTTGTTAAAATAGCCCCTTATAGGATAAATTTATGTAATGATTAATAAATATGATTTAAATCGTTATTAACCCAATTTCAACAAAGTATCTCTAATATATATCCAATGGATAACTAATGTATGTCCAAAGTATATCCACTGTACATCTAATGTATATCCACTGGATATCCGGTGGATAACTGATATGGATATCTTGTATATATACTTGTATGTATACATGTGGGATTTTGTGATGGTTTAAACTAGCATATGTAAAAAAAACAACTTTACGGTAAATTGATTTTTTGCCAAGAGCTACGAAATTTTTAATTTTGAAATGTTCACTTTACCCAGATAATAATATTTATATATTAATAATATTATTTCTGTTAATAATATGACTATGACAGTCTGCAATACAATAAAAAACTAATTAAAAAAGTCCCTTTTGTTTATTATTGTATTTCATAGTACTACGCACGCGCTGAATTTGAGAATCTTCAGTGTTGCCGGTTATAAGCAAAATAACTAAACGAAATATATTTCCGTACTTTATTAAGTTTTAATAAATAAATTAAATAAATTTAAAATAATTATTCACCACATTTATGTCAAATAGGTATTAGACTGGGCCAAAAAAATGGACTATTTTTTTTTTTTGAAAAATATATCGAGAATGTCATTCAGAATGACAAATAAAAAATTTCGTGAAAATTTGAGCCCTTAATATTAATTTTAAGAGGTCTATCATCGCTATTTTTGATTTTTAGTCATAATTTGATGTTTTGCGTTAGAACTGTCAAAACATTAAAGTGAAAAAAATTTCTTTTCACTTATTTTTATATAAAATTAAATTCTCTACAAAAAAGGTCTGATAGAAAATTTTCGTCAGACGAGCCGTTTCCGAGTAATTGAGCTCAATAAATCGATGTGTTTTTTCGATTTGCCCTTTTTACTTTACTAAATTTTGTAACTAATGAATCAATGAATATTAAAAAAGCTCACGTCGGATTCTTAAAGGAAATTTAATGTTCTACAAAAAAGGTCTCTTAACATTTTTGCCTAAATTTAATCCTTCAAAAGTTATTCACGATTAAAATCGAAGAAAAACTTAAAATTTCAATTTTTTCTTCGTGAATAACTTTTGAAGAATTAAATTTAGGCAAATATGTTAAGAGACCTTTTTTGTAGAACATTAAATTTCCTTTAAGAATCCGACGTGAGCTTTTTAAAATATTCATTGATTCATTAGTTACAAAATTTCAAAGTAAAAAGGGCAAATCGAAAAAACACATCGATTTATTAGGCTCAATTACTCGGAAACGGCTCGTCTGACGAAAATTTTCAATCAGACCTTTTTTGTAGAGAATTTAATTTTATATAAAAATAAGTGACAAGGAATTTTTTTCAGTTTACTGTTTTGACAGTTCTAACGTAAAACATCAAATTATGACTAAAAATCAAAAATAGCGATGATAGACCTCTTAAAATTAATATTAAGGGCTCAAATTTTCACGAAATATTTTTTTTGTCATTCTGAATGACATTCTCGATATATTTTTCAAAAAAAAATTAGTCAATTTTTTTGGCCCAGTCTAATAGGTATACTAGGTATACTAATTAATTAAGTATTAAAGATTTAATAATATAACCGCCATTTTGATGAGCTTTCTGAAATTATTTAAACGTCTGACAACACTGCTCAGCAGTGACTGCTGCCGAACACAGAAGATAAAGAAGCGTCCTTTTTCTATGGTAGCGTCCGTTAAATATGATGCCATGATTGTTAGGTACATCCAAAGGGTTTTCATGTTTATTTGCTTCATTCCACAGATTGTAAAGGTTCATTCGCCATCATTGCTATTTGTTATATGTTTGTCATAAAGTTTATTGCCAAGTTATTGTGTTTTGTGGTTATTTGTTTGAGGTCTCTAGTGGTAAGTGAATATTTTATTAATTTTCTAATCATAGTTATCATTTTAAATTGTATTGGTCTAAAACTAATACAATTTTAAATTAAATAGGTATATTTAAGTGCAATTTATAAACTTTCGGTTAGCATTGAAGGTAAAACATTAAAGGTGAATACATGCATGCATTTATATACCGTACCTTTATTTGCAAGCTATACATAGGCTCGAGGGTAACAAATGGGCTGATGGATTGGCCAAATTTTGGGAATCATAAGGAGACAGGTGAAATAGGCCCTAAATGATTAGGCTGATAAAAAGGCAAATGACAGCTGGAGGAGTGATGGCAAGCCAGAGACTTCACTTCTTTAGTTATATGTAGTTTTCTGTTCTATTTTATGTTTTCATAAAAATAAATATTTAAATTAAAGAATAAGACTTTTATTTTAAAACCCAATGTTATTTATTGAAAAGTAAATATCCATTGATTCACCATATCCAATACAGATGACAACCATATTGCATACAATACTATATCCACTGGGTATCCATTGGATATCCACACTATGTCCAGGAGGGTCGGACATTTATATATCCAATGGTTATCCATTGGATATCCATACAATCTCCATATTGAATACAGATTACAACCATATTGCATACAATACTATATCCACTGGGTATCCATTGGATATCCACACTATGTCCAGGAGGGTCGGACATTTATATATCCAATGGTTATCCATTGGATATCCCGGATATCCTATGTATATCCTGGATATCCATAAAAGAAATCCATTGGATATCCATTGGATGTAATTGTTCCGTGTGGGTACCTTACAGATTGATTAGTGTAATAATATTTAGTAAAAGTAACGTTATGGTGGTAATGATTTAAAATACCAACTATACTAATTTGATATGCGTTTTTCTTGATTAAAAACTGTAACACCCAAAACGTTTCGGGTGTTACAACTTTTTTCATATGTCGATATATGTGTGTGTGTTGCTTGAAGAATGCAATAAGTATTATTTTTAAGGCTCTTTTGACGGCCCACTAGCGTCGCCATCGGAAAAGCAGTCACACCTCTTTTAAAGAGGTGTGACTGCTTTTTAGATGGTGTTGCCGAACCTACCGAAATTTCGGTATTTCTACCGAAATGGCAACGGCCTAACCAAAATACCGAATACTACGATTTTCGTCAATAATTATATTTCTACCGATTTTTGGCAATAATAACGATTTTACGCTTTTTTCCGATTTATCAATTCATTCTATTTATGTTTATTTGTTACTAACTTATTTTGTAGTACCTAGAGACTAATAAAACATCGATTTTGTCCATATAAAGTGTTTAATTTTTGTACTTGTAACACCCGAAACAGAACCATGGTAACACCCGAAACAGTACAATTTTATAAAAAAAATAGTAAAACGTTATTTTTGGCAGTGATTATTTCGTAGATGATTATTTCGTAGATGCATCTACCATGGTTAGTAAATATTATACTTTTGGAGGCCTGTAATTTTTAGGAATGTTTCCCTAAGAAAATTCGCTGAATTTCAAATAAATGTAATAATGGTCAGGACATAGAGGCAGAATCGTGAAACACCCGAAACGCACACTTTTTGACTTATAAAATCGTTATCCCATATCCTAACCTGTACACTTTTATTGTGTTTTGAACTTTCATAATTAAGTAGATATTACAGCTCAGGTTCCAGATTTTTAACAGCAATTAATTATTTTTTACAATGTTTTAAAAGTCTAAAACCTATCCTCCGTGACTTACTCTTTTTAGGTAACCTATATAGCTATATGTTTTTAAATATATGAGGTAGTAAAAGCAAATAGTATACTAATAATATCAGTTCACTAAGTAAATTAAACACATCCAAAGCAATCGAATCAAATATAAAATATTATTAAAAATTAAAAGAAATAATTTTTATAACCATTTATGTAGATGTTACAAAAATTGATTCTATCCTCCGTGAATCTGTTTTTGCTTTAAATTTTATGCAACGGATGGCGCATTAATCATTTTAAATAAGCAAAAACCTCTGTTTACGGCATTATAGATGCATGTGATTCCTGAAGGTCTGTTAGAATTTATATGCAGATGGGAGTGTTGCTGTTTTATAATTCAAAAGTTTAAGTTCATTAATTTGCTATTTAAAAACCTATCCACCGTGAAGTGTAATATCTCAGTAAGTAGATTTTTTTATAAATATTTTATGTATGTACAATTGTTATTTTTTAAATATTAAGGTGTCAAAAGATACAATAACTTATTTCAAATATACAAAGGGCTGTTTAAAAAAAACATACGAAATCCTAACCTCCGTGAAGCTCTAATATTAAAAATGTATGATTTCTTAAAATTCTTGCATTAGTGCAGAACCACTTATGTTATGTTATTACTAGACCTGGTGGCTTCCCAAAAACTTTAACAGTGAAACAATCAAAAATAAAAAATAATCATGTTTACTTGGGGGACAATATATTAACCCCATTTAAGAATATCTAATATGCGAAAAGTTACAAGCAGTTTATTTGAGCTTGAAAATATTTATAGCAACGATATCCACGTTAAAGAGTGTAATCAAAATTACTTACATTGATATCAGGATTGGACTGCGACTTCCTCATGTCCTGCTTCTTGCTACTCCTGAACAGATTTTTCACCGACTTTCTGAAACTCGTGGGTCTGGATTTGGTCCTAATTCTCACTTCCACGTCATTTTCCACGTTTAATGTCTGATCCGACTGCGTGGAAGCCTTAAAGTTCTTCCTTTCCAAAGTTTGCATTAAGTTATCCATTGAAGGGTATTTGATTAACGTATTATTTGTGTCATCCGGACAGGTGACACTCATTTGAAATGTCTTACATTTATCCTGTGGATTGGGGGAGTCGACGTCACTAAAAATATTACCCTCATCTATAAAACAATAGAGTATCCATTAGGGTGTGCCAAAAAAACTTACTATTTTTTTTTACTTTGTACTCTGTACTTTGAAAAATCGGTTACTAGACACCAAACATGAGCTCTTAATTTTGATAACAAGGTTCTCCGCTTTACAATTTTCCATTTTTTCCTCAGTATTAGAAACAAAAATTCATATCTCTTCGACAACTGTTCAAAAATATATTATTGTAGGAAATCGAACGCTCTACAAAAAAGGTCTCTTACAATTTTTTCGTAAACCTCACCGTTTAAAAGATATCGAAGGTTAAAGTTTAATTATTTTAAGAGAAATTTCTGTTTTGCTTATGAATTTTATAACTCGCTTACAACTCATAGTTGTGTAGGAAATTAACTGCTCTACAAAAATGGTCTCTTATGATTTGTCGATTAAATTAAGCGTTTAAAAGATATTCATCGTCAAACTTCAATGCATACTAATTTTAACAGTTTTTGATGAATAATTCGAAACATTTCAATTTAATTTTTGAGTTTTACGAAAATTTATACAAATTTAAGTTCCTATGAAAAGAGAAACTATTTTTCTCGTTTTTTTTAGTCCTACATATGTTTGGTTATGTTGAAAAGAAAAATAGTGCATTATTTCTAAATCAGAGTCAATGATTTATTAAATTTTGAAAAAAATTACGTTTTTGTCATAAATTTAATATGAAAAGTATAGATCTTGAAGAAAAAAATATTCTATTTGTTATTAAAAAGTTTCTTTATTTAATTTTATCAACTGAAATAAAAAATTTAACATTTATAATTAAATATAATCGTACACTTTTACTGTAAAAAGTTTTCTTTATTACAATTTATTACAATTATTGTTTGCGATGTTCTTTTATAACTTGCAATAAATATTGAAATTGCTCTTCATTTTTTGTCAAGCATTGGTTATAATCATCGACTAATGCAACAGCTCGCTCTGCCGAATCATTAACAACTTTTAATTGCTTATGATTTTAAGTTATTATAAAGATAAATTTCATGAAAATATTATTAAAATGTTTGGTAAGTATTCTCTAGAGGTGTAACCGATTTTTTTTTTCAGATTAATAAGTAAAAAAAAATAGTAGGTTTTTTTGGCACACCCTAGTATCCATTCCAACTTGTGTTGTGTCAAATGCCGAATTTTTACGGGTAAAAATTTAACTTGTACCTTTGAAACTTTGAAATATCTGAGTTAGTATGCATTTTACGAAAAAATGTTAATAAAGTAAAATAAAAATTTAATGATTCGAGGGGGGAAATCTCTCTCCTCTTACTAACCTCCTTATAGAGGAAACAGGGGGTAACTTTAAAATTTCCAATGGGACACCCTATTTTTTATTGCAGATTCGGATCATTCGACTAAAAATAGGTAGATTTTGTCCAAAACATTTTTTCATATTTGTTATAGATGGCGCAGTAATGAAAAAAAAATCAATTTTGTTCGATTTTTCTTCTCCAATAATTTTTGAATAAAATACTTTTATTTTTAAATTTTGATTAAAGTAGGTGCTCAAAACAACAATATTAAATATTTGCTCGACGAACTCTTTTTTTCGGTTGAACACTCCCGTTTGTAGTATACTGCTTGACTGTACGGTGAAATGAAGTACGTGATCGAATTTTATCCGGAAAACGTTTAGCGTAGATATTAGCATCATCAAGATTTCTGCCTGCTTCTCCATAAATCAAAATCATTTCTATTTTTTCTTCCACTGTTAAAAAATCCATTATGAATAACTGCTTAACGAAAGGAGGTATTTTTGTTTGCAAATTAATCTTCGAACTGAATTGATTAAATAATGCTAAACTATGTATAAATAGTTTCTTTATACCTCAATAATAATTATTATTTATAACTAAATACCATTTTGTATACCTCTATTAGGATTAAATTAATTAATTGACAAAATAATGTTTTTTTTTACATAAATGAGGTATTTTTATTAAAAATTGTACAATAATCCTTTAAATTAAAGGATTTAATGCTGTCAGGTAAAAAGTGATCATGGTGCGCAATTGATAATTATCACCGAATGAAATAATGTATAAAACTTAAACCAAAGGAAACTTAAATATTAGTTAAAAAGTCGTGGGTACTTAAAAAAATCAGATTTAATTTAATAAGATAATTATTACCAAAAAAGTGATATTTTTATAGAAAAATTATTGCAGAATCGTATAAGAAGAAAAATCGAACAAAATAGATTTTTTTTCATTACAGCGCCATCTATTACAAATATGAAAAATTGTTTTAGACAAAATCTACCTATTTTTAGTCGAATGATCCGAATCTGCAGTTTAAATATATTTGGTAAAATATTTTTACAAAATTGGCGAATGTGCCGGGAGTAGTCGCTTATTATACACGGTGGTCAAAACTTAAGTATAAGACGAACAAAAATGCCAACCAAAACTGATAGCATATTTTGATTATAGACCCTTTTGGTAACACTAACATATATTTATCAAAATCCCAGCTGATCCTATTTTAAAGTTTTGCAAACTTTTTTGTTTTTCTATTTCTATATATTATTTTGCAATTATTGTACTAAAACTACCTGTACAATTTTAATAAAATTAAGCAAAATAATAAACTTTGTATCATTTAAATTACTTTACTCCCCAGTATTAATTTATTGAGTCACCTATTATTTTTTACCACTCAAAACAAAACATAACAAAAAAAAACGAAGATTTATATCTTAAATATTTTTTATAACAAAAAATACTGAAAGTTTGTCTATGAAATAATTACAACTTGCAAATTTTGTAAAACAATAATTAAGGTGGTTATGAAAAAAATTGCTATACGTTATAACGCAAGTGACATTTTGCTTTAGTTGTTTATTTAATGTATACTTTATAAAGTTAAAAATAGTATTTTAAAATGAAAATTAAACCGAAATTCAAGTTAAGCCATGAAGAAAATCGAAAGAAGGTATGTGCTGGCTGTGGAGAAAAAATTGTTTTTGGTAATCGAAAAATTCAGAGTTTAGGGTTTCTGAGAAAATATAAAAATTACTGCAGACTTTTTCAAACGAACACTTTAACTTAAGTGATTCAAAATTACCTACTTCAATATGGTAAAAACGGTATTTTTCCATAGCCACAATTGCCAAATTTTCAAAATTTAGAAATTGCTATAGAATTTCGCGGCAGCCAAGAATGTATGTGCTTTATCTGCAAAATGGCAAGATATAAAGGGCATAAAAAATTATTAAGGGAAGAGGACGGACGAACGAACTAAAGTTTTGATATGCTCTTCCTTTCTAGGGGATATCGCTAGATGTAAGAAGCATGTTTGTACAGAGACTGAAGAATTTAAAAATACTGTTTCCATGTTAAAAACAATTCCATGTAAAACCCAAGAAAAAGTTTTACTGAAAATTTAAGGCAAGCAGTAATCGATTTTGTTTCAAAGAATCTTTAGTTATTTATTGGTTTTGTATTAGATACCTTAAAACAATAAATAAGATATTGCAAACTGTATTTTACATTATTTTGTATTTATAATGTAATTTATCTATATGTCAGTCATGTATCTGCCAAATTTTTAAAAACATTTGATAATGGTACTAGAGTATTTTATCGAAATGGCATAAACAATTTTAAAATACTAAGAAATATGCAAAACTTTAATAAAGGATCAGCTGGGATTTTGATAAATACATTTTTGTGTTATCAAAAGAGTCTATAATCAGATTATGCTATAACTACCAAATGCAGAACAAACCACCATTGTATTTTAATATTGAATGCGAATTTTTTAATTTCTTTTCAAGCAAAATACACAAGATGAAATAAGATATTTTACCTATCTGTATCCAGGGCTAATGAATCGATGGAGTCCTTGTGTTTCATTTGCTGTTTCAAGTAAAGCGAATTGTGAGGCAGTTCTTTTAAATGTAGATTATCGTCGCAAGATCGCGATCTTCTAAGGTAAGAATCTCCAAGGTAAGATTTCTGTTGAGTATTTCTGAGTTGTATAGAGGTGGGGACGTTTTCTAATACAGTGTGTTCCGGAACATCGTTACCACGATCGTCGTACAGGCTGTTCCGTTCTGGTTTGGTCTTGTTCGGGTCTTTGTTTCTCAAGACAACGCTGTTATCTAAAAGAACATTTAAGTTATGTTGGTAGACACTAAAGTTCATTTTTTATCTAAAAAAGTAGTTAAATATAGGTGACTACGGCCCAGGCGAAACAAAGTATAATAATAATAATCTTCGCTTTGAAAAGAATTTATATAAAAGGAGTTTTTAAGTGTCTAGACTTTAAAAGAGCACAATTTAAAATAATTTTAAAAAAATCCAATATTATGGTGATAATCGTCATTGGAATAACAATTTAGTCACCTTTTAGTTGTACATATAATATAACAAATAAAGATTTTGTGGTATTTTCTTAAACCCATTGATATGTGCTTCCGTTGTAATTTTAAATTTTTTTAAATAAAATTTAAAGGTTTACTTAGTTTTTTACTAACAAAAAAGCTTTAAAACCAAAAACAATAATTATAATTACACTGATCAAGATAAACTGAATTTTAAAAATTGTACAATTTACAAAAAAATAATTTATTTTGTTAAAAACAGGATTTTTAACGGAAATATCTTTATCAATGTATAATTTATATATATTTTTTTAGTTTAATTAAGACCCATTTTAAGATTTAAAAAATAATCGGGTAAATTTAGTAGTCACACGTATGCACGCATATATGCATCATTTGCGTCATCAGTTGAGGTTCATATAGCCAGCACATGTGATGGTTGGAGAAACATTGCGAGGTTTATAATTTACGCATATTGCAGTCACAACGTGATTCTTAATCCGCACGTAAGTCACATATATGCATAATTTGCGTCATCAATTGAGGTTCATATGGCCAGCACATGTGATGGTTGAAGAAATTTTTGTGGGCATGATTAACAGGTGAATTTTGGACTTGCATTGCCTTAATTTGATAGTTTTTCTTACGTTTCGATTAGCAATTATATTTAATTGTCTTCAGTTATTACCTGAAGACCATTAGAGATAATTACTAATTGAAACGTTGTAAGAAAAACAATCAAATTAAGATAAGGCAAGTCCAAAACTCAGCTGTTAATTATTCATAAAATTCATTTATTGCGAAATTTTGGTCAATAAGTAATAATCCAAAAGATCTTTTTTTCAATTCATTTATGTTAGTTTTTGTGACAATTGTCTACATTTATAGAAAGATTTCTTATTTTAATTAAAATTAGGTAGGTATCTTTTTACAAATTCATAAATGAGTCAATCAAAATGAAATCACCAAAAATGAATTTAAAAGTGCGCTGCATGATTTTTTATTTCAATGAAAAATTTTGAGGATGATCTTTTAGGTATCATATATGAAAAATCGTTGCCGTTTTAATTTTTAGTTGCTTTATTTTTAATCGGCACCCTTTAGAAACCTGAAATCGTGTCATTTTCTTACTCTCTTATAAGAGGCTAAAACTTTTTTTCTGTGGCAATTATTGAAATGTTTGTAATTTTATTTTACTGCCTAGTAAGTATGTTTTCAATATTAATTATTATTATCTAATTAGTTCATCTCATAAAAGAATGGTAAACCACTAAAGATTTGTAATAATTGGCCAATTTTTGTGATTTTTGTCTGGCTTAAATCTAGAAAGTTGCTTTTTTTTCAGGTATCAAGTACTTATACAATAGAAAACGTAACTATTATTTTAAGTTTCTAGACTATCATTTTCTTTATTAAAAAAATTATTGAAACTTGATAATTTTCAAAATTAGCCAATTATGCCTTCAGAAATCATTATGTTAAGGAAAAAATAAAAATCTGAAACTTTCAGGAAATGTTGTCCCCACCTTCATCTTTTCAGTCCACTTAGTCTTGTTTTTTTATTTTTATCCATGTAAAAGATATAATAATTTTTTTAATGCAGTAAAGAAGCGATATTGTTAGTTTTATTTATAATTTAAAATTTAGATGGCTTTGACTTAGTCAATTCATGTTTGGTAGAGAAATGTCCGAACTGTCAAAAATATTTCATAAATATTATTTGTGCGTATTTAAATTGTGATTTCAAAAAGTTTGCAAGTGTAATAAATGAATGAAGTGTTCGAGATTCATGAATTTAATTGCAATTAAAAATGCAAGAACATATAATAATTTTGTACCTCTTTCTCATAGAAAATATTCAAGTTCTGAGAAGTTTTAAATTGTTAAAAATAAGCAAAAACCAAAAAATATTCTAAATAAACCCCTTTATTATAACATGTTTTATTTTAACCAGTTACCTAAAAACTAAAATTTAAAAAAGTATTTACAGATTGTGTAATTTTTTTTTCAACACTAACATTTAAAATACATACTTATAACTTTTAACTATTCAGTGCCTTACTACTTGTGAAAGAAACCGAAAAAAAAACTGCTTAACGCATTTTTAATACGTTTAAATTAACTCTTTGTTAATTTCACTTACGATATAAACTAACTAAAACTAACAATATCGCTACTAAACGGGCATTAAAAAAATTAATATATCTTTTAAAGGAATAAAAATAACAAAACAAGACTAACTGGACTGAAAAGATGAAGGTGGGGACTACATTTCCTGGAAGTTTCAGATTTTTATTTTTTCCTCAACATAATAATTTCTGAGAGCAAAATTGACTAATTTTAAGAATTATCAAGTTTCAATAATTTTTTTAATAAAGAAAATAATAGTCTAGAAAATTAAAATAATAGTTACGTTTTCTATTGTATAAGTACTTGATACCTGAAAAAAATAACTTTCTAGATTTAGAAGAATAGGCACAGGAGCCAGACAAAAATCACAAAAATTGACAAATTATCATGAATCTTTAGTGGTTTACCATTCTTTTATGAGATTAACTAATTGGATAATAACAATGTATATCGAAAACACACTTACTGAACAGTAAAACAAAATTAAAATCATTTCAATATTTGTCACAGAAAAAAGTTCTGGACCACTATAAGAGAGTAAGAAATTGACACGATTTCAGATTTCTAAAGGGTGCCGATTAAAAGTAAAGAATCCAAAAATTAAAATGGCGATGGATTTTCATATTTGATACCTAAAAGATCATCCGCAATTTTTTTATCAAAATAAAAAATCAAGCAGCGCACCTTATTTGGTGTTTTTATTTGGAATGACTCCAAATTAACCATATGGTGTAAGTCAATTTTTTGAAAATTTTAGTCATAATATAAAGTAAAATTATTATTAGTTATAATTGATTTTTTATGAAATTTGTTCCGTATACACAATTTAATTGCAATTTAAAATAACTCATTAATGTTATTAAGCTTATTGGTTATAGGTATGATTGCATACCTAGTTTATGCAATTTATAGACTTTAGACTTTTTAGATTATTATCAAAATAAATTGTACACAAAAACAATGAAATTTATCAAATAAAAAAATATTTTCTCAAATTTGGCTTAATTTATATAAGCCGATAATATTTTAATGTGGATTAGTATATAATCTTTATCAAAATATATTAATATATAATCTTTATCAAAATATTTATAAATTATATCTAACCGAAATCCCCAAAATATCGTAAAAATTGCCATTACTTACCTTTCACTAAATATCAAAAATGCATTCACTTAACAACTAAATCAAGTATGTCGTTTACTCACAATTCGCAGTGGCAATATTTCCTGGAGTTGCGGTCGGTAAATGGCAACATTGCGGCGGCAGTGTTGCCAAGTCTGGCGAAGAAAACGCAGCGTTTTCCGCACCCTGATGCCTACTGAAAAACGCGTCATACAACGGAGTTTCATCGGATATTGTTTTACGTCTCACGCGTTTTGTTTTTTGATTTGTCAAAATCTTTTCTTGTCTTTTTTCGGTGTCTTTGGTTTTAAAACTTTTGGATCTAAAGATGTTCTTCATTATTCACTGTTTTCTTAATCACTTTGTTATCAAGTTACTTAACCACACTTTGCAGAAATTGTTGTTTATTTACTAAAAATATTAAATTATTGTTAACAGTACGTGTTAGTCGATAGAACTGTTTTTAAATTTTATCTGGATATAATTGAATTTAAACCTTATCAGTTAAGATAAAATTTGTAATGGTATGTTGTTGGTTGGTTTAATTTTAAAGTAGGTAAAATGCATTTTTACCGTTTTTTAATTAAAAACAAATTAGGGTGAATATATTGAGATGTCCCCCAAGTGAAAATGATTTTTTTTTGAAGCCACCAGGTCTAGTAATAACAGTGGTTCTGCCCTAATGCCAGAATTTTAAGAAATCATACATGAAAAACATGAAAAAAAAAGTTGCAAAAATAATTTTTCCTTACTAATTCGAGCACGCTGATTCCAAAAAATCAAACCGCACTTTCGTATCTCTTCTCGTTCGGAAGTTACACTCGAAAATCGCGATATTTTTTTCAAAAGGGTCCCCCCTTATAAAATATGTTCTGAAAAACATGAAAAAAAAAGTTGCAAAAATAATTTTTCCCTACTAATTCGAGCACGCTGATTCCAAAAAATCAAACCGCACTTTCGTATCTCTTCTCGTTCGGAAGTTACACTCGAAAATCGCGATATTTTTTTCAAAAGGGTCCCCCCTTATGAAATATTTTCTGAAAAACATGAAAAAAAAAGTTGCAAAAATAATTTTTCCTTACTAATTCGAGCACGCTGATTCCAAAAAATCAAACCGCACTTTCGTATCTCTTCTCGTTCGGAAGTTACACTCGAAAATCGCGATATTTTTTTCAAAAGGGTCCCCCCTTATGAAATATTTTCTGAAAAACATGAAAAAAAAAGTTGCAAAAATATTTTTTCCTTACTAATTCCAGCACGCTGATTCCAAAAAATCAAACCGCACTTTCGTATCTCTTCTCGTTCGGAAGTTATACTCGAAAATCGCGATATTTTTTTTCAAAAGGGTCCCCCCTTATGAAATATTTTCTGAAAAACATGAAAAAAAAAGTTGCAAAAATAATTTTTCCCTACTAATTCGAGCACGCTGATTCCAAAAAATCAAACCGCACTTTCGTATCTCTTCTCGTTCGGAAGTTACACTCGAAAATCGCGATATTTTTTTCAAAAGGGTCCCCCCTTATGAAATATTTTCTGAAAAACATGAAAAAAAAAGTTGCAAAAATATTTTTTCCTTACTAATTCCAGCACGCTGATTCCAAAAAATCAAACCGCACTTTCGTATCTCTTCTCGTTCGGAAGTTACACTCGAAAATCGCGATATTTTTTTCAAAAGGGTCCCCCCTTATGAAATATTTTCTGAAAATCATGAAAAAAAAAGTTGCAAAAATATTTTTTCCTTACTAATTCGAGCACGCTGATTCCAAAAAATCAAACCGCACTTTCGTATCTCTTCTCGTTCGGAAGTTACACTCGAAAATCGCGATATTTTTTTCAAAAGGGTCCCCCCTTATGAAATATTTTCTGAAAAACATGAAAAAAAAGTTGCAAAAATAATTTTTCCCTACTAATTCGAGCACGCTGATTCCAAAAAATCAAACCGCACTTTCGTATCTCTTCTCGTTCGGAAGTTACACTCGAAAATCGCGATATTTTTTTCAAAAGGGTCCCCCCTTATGAAATATTTTCTAAAAAACATGAAAAAAAAAGTTGCAAAAATATTTTTTCCTTACCAATTCCAGCACGCTGATTCCAAAAAATCAAACCGCACTTTCGTATCTCTTCTCGTTCGGAAGTTACACTCGAAAATCGCGATATTTTTTTCAAAAGGGTCCCCCCTTATGAAATATTTTCTGAAAAACATGAAAAAAAAAGTTGCAAAAATATTTTTTCCTTACTAATTCCAGCACGCTGATTCCAAAAAATCAAACCGCACTTTCGTATCTCTTCTCGTTCGGAAGTTACACTCGAAAATCGCGATATTTTTTTCAAAAGGGTCCCCCCTTATGAAATATTTTCTGAAAAACATGAAAAAAAAAGTTGCAAAAATAATTTTTCCCTACTAATTCGAGCACGCTGATTCCAAAAAATCAAACCGCACTTTCGTATCTCTTCTCGTTCGGAAGTTACACTCGAAAATCGCGATATTTTTTTCAAAAGGGTCTCCCCCCTTATGAAATATTTTCTGAAAAACATGAAAAAAAAAGTTGCAAAAATATTTTTTCCTTACTAATTCCAGCACGCTGATTCCAAAAAATCAAACCGCACTTTCGTAGGTATCTCTTCTCGTTCGGAAGTTACACTCGAAAATCGCGATATTTTTTTCAAAAGGGTCCCCCCTTATGAAATATTTTCTGAAAAACATGAAAAAAAAAGTTGCAAAAATAATTTTTCCCTACTAATTCGAGCACGCTGATTCCAAAAAATCAAACCGCACTTTCGTATCTCTTCTCGTTCGGAAGTTACACTCGAAAATCGCGATATTTTTTTCAAAAGGGTCCCCCCTTATGAAATATTTTCTGAAAAACATGAAAAAAAAAGTTGCAAAAATATTTTTTCCTTACTAATTCCAGCACGCTGATTCCTAAAAATCAAACCGCACTTTCGTATCTCTTCTCGTTCGGAAGTTACACTCGAAAATCGCGATATTTTTTTCAAAAGGGTCCCCCCTTATGAAATATTTTCTGAAAATCATGAAAAAAAAAGTTGCAAAAATATTTTTTCCTTACTAATTCGAGCACGCTGATTCCAAAAAATCAAACCGCACTTTCGTATCTCTTCTCGTTCGGAAGTTACACTCGAAAATCGCGATATTTTTTTCAAAAGAGTCCCCCCTTATGAAATATTTTCTGAAAAACATGAAAAAAAAAGTTGCAAAAATAATTTTTCCTTACTAATTCCAGCACGCTGATTCCAAAAAATCAAACCGCACTTTCGTATCTCTTCTCGTTCGGAAGTTACACTCGAAAATCGCAATATTTTTTTCAAAAGGGTCCCCCCTTATGAAATATTTTCTGAAAAACGTGAAAAAAAAGTTGCAAAAATAATTTTTCCTTACTAATTCGAGCACGCTGATTCCAAAAAATCAAACCGCACTTTCGTATCTCTTCTCGTTCGGAAGTTACACTCGAAAATCGCGATATTTTTTTCAAAAGGGTCCCCCCTTATGAAATATTTTCGGAAAAACGTGAAAAAAAAAGTTGCAAAAATAATTTTTCCTTACTAATTCGACTCCGCTGATTCCAAAAAATCAAACCGCACTTTTGTATCTCTTCTCGTTCGGAAGTTACACTCGAAAATCGCGATATTTTTTTCAAAAGGGTCCCCCCTTATGAAATATTTTCTGAAAAACATGAAAAAAAAAGTTGCAAAAATATTTTTTCCTGACTAATTCCAGCACGCTGATTCCAAAAAATCAAACCGCACTTTCGTATCTCTTCTCGTTCGGAAGTTACACTCGAAAATCGCGATATTTTTTTCAAAAGGGTCCCCCCTTATGAAATATTTTCTGAAAAACATGAAAAAAAAAGTTGCAAAAATATTTTTTCCTTACTAATTCGAGCACGCTGATTCCAAAAAATCAAACCGCACTTTCGTATCTCTTCTCGTTCGGAAGTTACACTCGAAAATCGCGATATTTTTTTCAAAAGGGTCCCCCCTTATGAAATATTTTCTTAAAAACATGAAAAAAAAGTTGCAAAAATATTTTTTCCTTACTAATTCGAGCACGCTGATTCCAAAAAATCAAACCGCACTTTCGTATCTCTTCTCGTTCGGAAGTTACACTCGAAAATCGCGATATTTTTTTTAAAAGGGTCCCCCCTTATGAAATATTTTCTGAAAAACATGAAAAAAAAAGTTGCAAAAATAATTTTTCCTTACTAATTCGAGCACGCTGATTCCAAAAAATCAAACCGCACTTTCGTATCTCTTCTCGTTCGGAAGTTACACTCGAAAATCGCGATATTTTTTTCAAAAGGGTCCCTTATGAAATATTTTCTGAAAAACGTGAAAAAAAAAGTTGCAAAAATAATTTTTCCTTACTAATTCGAGCACGCTGATTCCAAAAAATCAAACCGCACTTTCGTATCTCTTCTCGTTCGGAAGTTACACTTGAAAATCGCGATATTTTTTTCAAAAGGGTCCCCCCTTATGAAATATTTTCTGAAAAACATGAAAAAAAAAGTTGCAAAAATATTTTTTCCTTACTAATTCCAGCACGCTGATTCCAAAAAATCAAACCGCACTTTCGTATCTCTTCTCGTTCGGAAGTTACACTCGAAAATCGCGATATTTTTTTTCAAAAGGGTCCCCCCTTATGAAATATTTTCTGAAAAACATGAAAAAAAAAGTTGCAAAAATAATTTTTCCCTACTAATTCGAGCACGCTGATTCCAAAAAATCAAACCGCACTTTCGTATCTCTTCTCGTTCGGAAGTTACACTCGAAAATCGCGATATTTTTTTCAAAAGGGTCCCCCCTTATGAAATATTTTCTGAAAAACATGAAAAAAAAAGTTGCAAAAATATTTTTTCCTTACTAATTCCAGCACGCTGATTCCAAAAAATCAAACCGCACTTTCGTATCTCTTCTCGTTCGGAAGTTACACTCGAAAATCGCGATATTTTTTTCAAAAGGGTCCCCCCTTATGAAATATTTTCTGAAAATCATGAAAAAAAAAGTTGCAAAAATATTTTTTCCTTACTAATTCGAGCACGCTGATTCCAAAAAATCAAACCGCACTTTCGTATCTCTTCTCGTTCGGAAGTTACACTCGAAAATCGCGATATTTTTTTCAAAAGAGTCCCCCCTTATGAAATATTTTCTGAAAAACATGAAAAAAAAAGTTGCAAAAATAATTTTTCCTTACTAATTCCAGCACGCTGATTCCAAAAAATCAAACCGCACTTTCGTATCTCTTCTCGTTCGGAAGTTACACTCGAAAATCGCGATATTTTTTTCAAAAGGGTCCCCCCTTATGAAATATTTTCTGAAAAACATGAAAAAAAAAGTTGCAAAAATATTTTTTCCTTACTAATTCCAGCACGCTGATTCCAAAAAATCAAACCGCACTTTCGTATCTCTTCTCGTTCGGAAGTTACACTCGAAAAT